AGGAGTCGGGGTCGGGTCTGACATTTAATGAGAGGCATCGCCCCCACCCCCCAGCCGACTGAGCTCCCGAGTGGCGGGCAGCTTCCGTGGGCCGCGCCCTGCCAGCGGGGTCTTATCGAGGGCGCGGCTTCCCAGCAACAGGGCTGTGGTGGCCTTGCCGCCTCGCCTCTGCAGCACCAAGAGGACACTCAGCAGGCCCACCGCCCTGCCTGCTGCGCACTCACCGTCCGGGACGTGGAACCGCTCTGCCGCCTTGCAGAAACCTGAGGGCCAGGCAGGGTCAGAGGTGGCAGGGGCGTCAGCCAGCACAGGGAGCGGAGGCTGAGCCAGCGCCATGGCGCCACGGCGGCCGGGGACACTCACTGTGCTTGGGGAAGACTAAGACCTGGTCCTCAGTCAGGTTGACCCCCAGACGTGCTGCTCAAACGCACTCGGGACTAAATCGCTCACAGGGAGTGGATGGGCTGGGGACAGACAGGCTCCTGGGGTCCCGGGCTCCTGGCACCAGGCGGGGGTGAGGGACAAGGCCCACTGGTTGTCTGCCCCCGGCCCCAAACTGGCCTTCCTACAGTGGCTCCTCCCTGGGCCCCTGCTCAGCAGGAGAGTCAGGACAGAGAGCGTGTGTCCATCTGGGCTCACGCAGCCCCATCAGGATGGCCCCTCGAGTGTGCACAGCCCAAGCTCCTGGCCACCATGAACCATAGAGCTTCACTGACAGCTGCTGTGCCTGCTCCAGGTATAGGATAGCAAAGCCCAGGTAGTCTGTCTCAGTGACAACCACGTGCACAGCCCTTTTGGCGCCTCGGGCTGGGGCAGAGCAGCAGCTGCATCAGCTCCCTGCCCCCCGGCCCCCAGCCCTGTGCCCCCATGCTCTGCTGGCCTTGCCTCACCTTGGAGCAGGAAGCGGCCAGGGACCCCCGTGTCTCCATAGAGCTGGCGCACCTCCCAGCAGATCCCATCCTGTGAGATGGAGGATGGGAGGAGGCAAAGCAGGTGTGGGGAACCCCAACCCGGGGTTCCTGGTATAGGCCACAGCAGGGGGAGATCAGGGCTCCAGGCCAGGGTTGGAGTTAGGGGACCAGGGGGAGGTTGGGAGGCTGGGCAGGGGGCTGTTCTGAGATTCACAGCTTGCAGAAGGTACTGACAGCCATGGCTGCACCCTGGGGAGCTACATGCATTGCCGTGACCTTGGCCTGGTGGCTCTGCTCCTGCAAGAAGTGTCAGGTGGAGCCCGTGGCCACAAGGAGCCACATCCCTGCAAACTGAGGCAGGCCATGGCAGGGACTCAAGGACACTGAGGGGATGGGGCAGCCTGTGCCCAACGTTGCACAGCTGGGAACTTCCTGGACCCATCTGTCCCCACCTATCCCCCAGCTTCTACCTGCTGAACATCTAAATTGGCCTTGGATGGCCAGCACCTCAGACGGGGCCCTGGGTGGAGAGAGGGACTGGACCCCACCCACAACCAGGCACACCACCAGCACCAAGAAGCATGCCAAAAACATCACCTCCATGTGGGTGGCCCACCACAGCCACCACAGTAACCACAGCTGCCGGGAAAGCAGCTAGACACCACAACCACTGTGCAGATGGTCTGCCAGCCACTGGAGTGCATTGACACAAGGAGAGTCACCAGCAGAGACCAAAGAAAAGAAGAGGATGTCTCTTTCCACAAAACCCATTCCAGAGTGACAGAAGAAACATCTGCTCTACGGTAATATCAGGGGACCTGATCACAGCTCTCAGCATTGGACAGATCATCTAGGCAACAAATCAGTAGAGTAACCATTACTCTTTCAGAAGGAGGGAAGGAATCTAGGGTTGTCAGAGGGGGAGGGGGAGGGAAGGG